GCGTACCACACGAAGTCCTCGTTGGCCCCGGTTGCGCACTGGTAGCAACACCTGTAGTGGATGTTGCGCCAGTCGTCCTGGCCGTCGGGGTTAACCGAGAGGAGATAGTAAGGCGGAAACAGCAGACCACAAAAGGTGCAATCGATGGATCCATCGTGGAGCTTGTCGTTGGCCGGAGTGCTGAAGTACTTGAGGTACATCTCGACTCGGTCGACATCGCGTTTGTGGTGATCTTCGATCGATGTCCCATCGCGACCAATGAGCTCGATGGGCATGCCGTTCTCGTCGACCCCCTCGCCGGTAAGTTGTCGGCGCCAAATCGCCGCCAGCTCGGAGTCTGTCGAGTTCGGGAACTGCTTTCGTAGTGATGACATCGCGAGCTGTTCGGAGGCTCGTCTGAAAGCGATGACTTCCAAGGCTCCCTGGGTGTGATGGTCATCGTAGAGCCTTCGTTGTAACTTCAGTGCTCGGCCCTCGTCGGTGTCCGGGTGGACTCCCTCGAGGTATCGAGCGGCCGGCAAAACTGCTCCGGAGCTGCTGCCGGGCATTTGGGAAAACTGCTCGATGGGATCGAGCTGAGTCGCCGATGTCTCGGGGAACTGTTCAATCGGATCCGACTCAATCGGGGACTGGCGAGAGTGTGCCATCACTTCGGGTGGATCGGGAGGTTCGGGTAACACGAGTCGAGCTTGAGAGGTCGAAGTCTACGGAAGCCAAGCAATCTCCAAGGAGAGAGCAGGCCCCACTACAACTAGTCGAGCCTGATGCAACCGAGTAACATGTCCTACAGGCAAGCACATTTGGTCTTGTCGTCGTATGTAACGAGTCATTCGGGGGGTTGAGACCTACGGGTCAGGTGGACGCATCGCCGAGGCGGAAGTCCCCTTCTACCGAAACGGTCACTGATCCGGAAACACCCGTACATCGCCGAGGCGGAAACGGGGCGACCGTGAGACCTAAAGGTCGGGTAGGCCTCGTGTAAAGGCTCACGCATTCTCGCGGAATCGCAGGATGAAAGCCGGCGGCTCCGCGGCGATCATCGATCGCATTCGCTCGTGTTGGGCGAAGGCACTTCGCATCGCCGGTGAGAGCATATTCGAAGTGCAGGAAAGGATCGCCGAGGCCTGCTCCCGAAAGAAGGTCTGCATGGGCTCGAAGTATGGCATCTGCGCCGCGAAGGTGTTGAGATTCCTCGCCGTGTGGCACCAAATTCGGAGTCGGTTCATCCGATCTTCCACCGAAGTATGGTTCAGGTCGGAGAGAGAGGCGGTGATGCTGTGCCACACCATCGAGTAGATCAAGGTAGTCCGGGGTTCCACGAAGTTATTCGGGACACCCAGGAGCAACACCCGTTCCTGCAGTACGTCGTCTTGCGGGGTGTGGATCGGGAGGTCGATGTAAAGGCCGTATTGGGTGAGGTAGCTCCCGAAAGTAGGGCATCGGAGTACCTGTTCGATGTAAATGATGCCATCGTATGTGATCTCCCATGGAGTGTCGAAGGCGAAGGAGGAGTAGGGGTGATTGCCAGGTGGCAACATCGCGACATTGTGGCCACCCACCGGCGTCATCGCTTGCAAATTCGCCGACATCATCGGGAAGTTGTCGAAGTGGCGCAGTGTTTGAAAGCCAAACACTGGCTCGTGTGATGACGGTGCATTGGATCGGACATCGTCGATCGAAGTGCGCCCCTTCTCCACCACCTGCGAGTCGCGCCACTGCACTCGGAATCTCTCGAGGCATGACTGTCGTGGTGGTTGTGGCTGAACCGCGACCGGTACACTCGTGTAAGGATTCCCCAAGGAGGTCGCGATAGTCGAGGAAGAGGCCGCCCCCGACTCGTTGGTATCTGGCCGTAAGACTTGCCTCGGGTCATTTCGTGTCAAGTCCACAGCAGGGTGGACGGAGAATCTCGGAGGCACGACTCTTCCAAGCCCCGCGGAGCTGTCGGCGTCGGGGTGTGGTCGTTTGGGCATGGCCTTGGTCTTAGTGCTCACGAGAGTCGTAGTAGCGGCAGCCCCAAAGGATGGGTTGATCCACTCGGATTCACTCGCGGAATTGGCCACCGGCCCAGAGCTCCTTGGGTCCATCGATGTCGCAGAGTTGGCTGTAGTAACCGCGGTCGGAGGAGTCGATGGTGGTGTCGCGGAATCATCGTCCTCGTGCCAAGGATCTGGCGACCTCGGCCTCGTCTGCGGTGTCGTGGTAGTCGGTGGGGCCGCCGGAGTCGTGGCTGGTGTCGAAGCGGCGATCTCATCCGGGATTTCGACGATCACCGGGGTCTTAGAGTCGAGCCATCTCTTCGCCGGTGACGGGGATCTCTTCGGGAATCTCGCCGGAGAAAGCGGTCGTTGTGATCCCCTGGCTGCTCCATCGCCGTGGCGGAAAGCAGTTCGGGGTTCACGGCCGAAGCTGGGTGCATCGGAGTCCGTATCCGTGCTGACCTGGAAGAAAGTTCTCCTTGGTGTCGGCGGAGTCGGCGTAGTCGAAGGTGCCGCAGATGGGAACGCTGCCGGAGGTGCTGTCGATGGGGCTGCTGTAGAGGGGGCTGACGAGGGAGCCGCTGAAGGAGGCCATCGGGGTCTCGAAGTCGGGAAAATCGCTCCCCGTGTCGGAGTGGGGTGTTGTCCCCAGGTCGCCGGAGGTCTCGATTCCTCGCGAACTCTACGGGGAGAGCGTCCTCGACGATGCAGGCCATCCGCGATTTCTTGTCGTAGTTGTTGGGCAACATCAGATTTATCCCACGATTCGTAGTCGTAGTACCGAAGGAAGTTTGTGCCAAAGTTGAACTTGCGCATCTCGGCGGAACGGAAAGTGGTCATCGAGTCCATGATCCACTCACGAGCCTGTGCTCGGTTGACCTGCTCGATGATTCCGTTCTTCGACGAGTAATGGTAAGGTGGTTCACCTCGACGATTCTGTCGCTGTACTACGAAAGCCTGTCGCATAGCTTCGTCGAACGTGTGGCCATGTTGATTCCAGCACGTATTGTGGTACTCGCAGCATCCCTGGAACCATTTGTGGCATATGAGGTTGGGCACTACCCACTGTTTGTTGAGGAAATCGGGGTGGAGAAAACCACAATTGGCCATGTTACAGTTCTTCTTCTCGAGAAGGCGGGGACAAAGCTGTCGTCGTATCTCGGAGATGGGGACTTGGGCCGTGTCGCTGACTACTTCGGGGTACTCGTTAAGCATCGACTCTGGAACAGGGGCCGTCATCTTCACCAACGTGCCCTCGCAGAGAAAATCGAACCATGAGTCGGCTCGGGTACGTGCCATGGCTACGAATTGGCTAATCCAAATCGATGGTAATCGAAGTAGTGGGCTTGAGATGCCCTTCGAAGTTCCGCTTTCGAGCTTTAGAGGCAGCGGGTTCGGGAGTATGTAATTCCATGCCAAAATCATCACGAAAAATGTCTGCCAAATGCTGATTATGCAGATCGGTCTCATGCACAAGAAGAGCAGCGTCGGTGTCAGCTGGTAGGGGTGCATGATCGGAGTCGGGGTGTAGGGAAGCCTCGACGATCTCGAACGGCACCGTCAGCGGCTCCGCGGACTCGTCGCGGTTGGTGATGTGCAGGTACAGGAAGGCCTCGAGGTTGGGCGGTTTCAACAAAGTCGCCGCAAGATTGACAATGTCGTTCGCCGTCTGACACTGGGCGATGTGATCGAGTGCCTTTCGTATCTGTCGGGATTGTCGCTTGTTCCAAGCTCCCCACGTCACATCCTCGGGTTTCTCGACTTGAAAATCTTCGAGAACTTGCTCGCGGCTGAATTCCTCGAGCGATTCCTTCAGACTGTCAACAACTGACAGAGAAGCCGTAGTGCTCGAGGTACTGGCCGCCAGCAGCGGTCGTAGTAGTGCTCGGGGTACTGGCCGCCCGGGCGGCTATGACCGAGGAGTGATCCGAGGGGACTGAAACAAAATTTCGCTCAAGCTGTAACAGCTTTCGCCAAAATGGCCACGGAGTATACAATCATTCGACATGAATCGGTGAGTCAATCCCCTGACCGATTCGGTGTTTAAGTGAGATATGAAGTTGTCACTTCGCACAAACAAGTGTGTGCTACACGACAAGGGCTTCTCTGCCACAGTAGTCCCACTTCGCACCCATTGTGTTTAGCAGCGCATCGCCAGCTCCAAATTCTAACTGTTCGTGGAGCAGTGCCGACACCAAAGACCTGAAGAAGTAACTCGCAACAAGTTACGTCTGCACATCTGCAGCCAGTCTTCCTTCCATGGACATTGCAGGGAGACTGCGCCCAGCCGTCATTGTCAAGCTCCTTCGGCCAAAGCCAGGGCCAGGAACCTTAAACCAACAGCGTAAGCCCTCTGACACAGCTCGGCCTTCTCGGCGGCTTCCAGGCCAGGAACCTTCGCTGTGGAAGCTTGCAAAAGGGGCTGAATTAAGAGCAAACTCAAACCAAACTCAGAACCAGCCGCGCCTTCAAGTTTGTCCAGGATCTCTGCGGCCTTCGCCGGCGATTCCTGCACACGGAGGCACGTGCCGCAAATGAAAGAACCAAGAACTCAGTGACGAGGTCCTCTTCCTGTTCTACACAGGGGCTGCCGTACGCTTCGCCATGGTCCTATGGACAACTGCGAGGCCTGTCTATCGTACTTGAAGTTCCAGGAAGCTTTGTCCGACAGGGTCCGCTTTCTGTTTCACATAATCATGGTCTCCTCTCGACGTCTGTGCACCATCCTTTTGAACCAAAGCTGTGCAGCAAGGTCGCAACCAAAATGAGGACCACAAACACTTGTCAAAGCATACCCGAGCGAGCAACAACACACCTGCAAGCGCACATCAATGCGCCACATGTCCGAACGCTTCCATGAACAACTGACAGCATCGGCAAGGCAGCGGTCAGGGTTGCACAACGTCATGACAGCAGTACAGCGGTGGAGAGAGGCATGAGCACGGCAAAGTCTGGAAATCGACGCAGACTAGCAAATGGGGCGGTCTTTTTCGCCTTGCGCGCTTGCAACATGAACCGGAACTACTGCTGGATCCGACTTGCCAAGCTTCTAGCGGCACTGCTGAATGCCCTGCCGCTGTAAATTCCGTAGTATTTTGCGAACTGACCCTCGGACACAAATATCAAGTTCTGGCCATCTGGAGTGTCAGTTTTGCTGTTTCGCAGCACCACGAAGATGTCATCTTCATCGCAGGCTTTCGCACGCTCAGCTTCTAGGTCACAAGCTGACTGCCCATGCTTCATCTGCAAGCACTCTGCAATCAGCTCGCCAGCCTCGGTCTCCAAGCGAAGGACCGCGTCTGCAGCAGGTGCACCCTTCGCATTCAGAACAAGAACATCAGTCCGAGTCAAACTGACCGTGGTCTCCTTGTCATCGACTTGGCACTCATGCTTTTTGGGATGGCTTGCGGGCGTTGTCGCTGCTGAGTGGGTGGAGAATTTTCCTTTGCCCTTTTTTTTTTTTTCTTGGCCCTTTTTTTTTTTTTGGCCCTGGGCTCCTGCGTTCTCCGTATTTGCCGCATGCGTAGTAGTAGTAGTAGTAGTAGTAGCAGCAGTAGTCGTAGCAGTGGTAGTAGTAGCAGTGCTAGTAGTAGTAAGGAGTAGTAGTAGTAGTAGTAGTAGTAGTAGTAGTAGTAGTAGTAGTAGTAGTAGTAGTAGTAGTAGTAGTAGTAGTAGTAGTAGTAGTAGTAGTACTAGTAGTAGTAGTAGTAGTAGTAGTAGTAGTAGTAGTAGTAGTAGTAGTAGTAGTAGTAGTAGTAGTAGTAGTAGTAGTAGTAGTAGTAGTAGTAGTAGCAGTAGTAGTAGTAGTAGTAGTAGTAGTAGTAGTAGTAGTAGTAGTCTGGTAGGAGGTATAGTAGAAGTAGGTGAAGTAGTAGTAGTAGTAGTAGTAGTAGTAGTAGTAGTAGCCTAGTAGGAGGTATAGTAGAAGTAGGTGAAGTAGCAGTAGTAGTAGTAGTAGTAGTCGTAGTCGTAGAAGTAGTCGTAGCAGTGGTAGCAGTAGCAGTGGTAGTAGTAGTAGTAGTAGTAAGTAGTAGTAGTAGTAGTAGTAGTAGTAGTAGTAGTAGTAGTAGTAGTAGTAGTAGTAGTAGTAGTAGTAGTAGTAGTAGTAGTAGTAGTAGTAGTAGTAGTAGTAGTAGTAGTAGTAGTAGTAGTAGTAGTAGTAGTAGTAGTAGTAGTAGTAGTAGTAGTAGGTAGGTAGTAAATAGTAAGTAGTAAGTAGTAAGTAGTAAGTAGTAGTAGTAGTAGTAGTAGTAGTAGTAGTAGTAGTAGTAGTACTAGTAGTAGTAGTAGTAGTAGTAGTAGTAGTAGTAGTAGTAGTAGTAGTAGTAGTAGTAGTAGTAGGAGTAGTAGTAGTAGCAGTAGTAGTAGTAGTAGTCGTAGTAGCAGTCGTAGTAGTAGTAGTAGTGTAATAGTAGTAGTAGTAGCAGTAGTAGTAGTAGTAGTAGTAGTCTAGTAGGAGGTATAATAGAAGTAGGTGAAGTAGTAGTAGTAGTAGTAGTAGTAGTAGTAGTAGTAGTACTAGTAGTAGTAGTAGTAGTAGTGTAGTAGTAGTAGTAGTAGTAGCAGTAGTAGTAGTAGTAGTAGTAGTCTAGTAGGAGGTATAGTAGAAGTAGGTGAAGTAGTAGTAGTAGTAGTCGTCGTCGTAGCAGTAGTCGTAGCAGGAATCGTAGCAGTAGTCGTAGCAGTGGTAGTAGTAGCAGTGGTAGTAGTAGCAGTGGTAGTAGTAGCAGTGGTAGTAGTAGTAGTAGTAGTAGTAGTAGTAGTCTGGTAGGAGGTATAGTAGAAGTAGGTGAAGTAGTAGTAGTAGCAGTAGTAGTAGTAGTAGTAGTAGTAGTAGTAGTAGTAGTAGTAGTAGTAGTAGTAGTAGTAGTAGTGTTGTAGTAGTAGTAGTTGTAGTAGTAGTAGTCTAGTAGGAGGTATAGTAGAAGTAGGTGAAGTAGTAGTAGTAGTAGTAGTAGTAGTCGTAGCAGTAGTCGTAGCAGTAGTCGTAGCAGTAGTCGTAGCAGTAGTCGTAGCAGTGGTAGTCGTAGCAGTGGTAGTCGTAGTAGGTAGTAGTAGTAGTAGTAGTAGTAGTAGTAGTAGTAGTAGTAGTAGTAGTAGTAGTAGTAGTAGTAGTAGTAGTAGTAGTAGTAGTAAGTAGTAAGTAGTAAGTAGTAAGTAGTAAGTAGTAAGTAGTAAGTAGTAGTAGTAGTAGTAGTAGTAGTAGTAGTAGTAGTAGTAGTAGTAGTAGTAGTAGGAGGTAGTAGTAGTAGTAGTAGTAGTAGTAGTAGTAGTAGTAGTAGTAGTAGTGGTGTAGCAGGAGGTATTAGTGGGAGTAGGTGCAGTAGCAGCTGTAATAGAAAACACCGAGGCCCCCAAAGGGAAAAAAAAAAGGGCAAAGAAAAAAAAAAAGGTCAAGAAAAATAGGGTCCCCCTGCTGAGTCTTTGTGGGGCTTTGGGTTGCCGCAGGCATTTGAAGCCGTTGCTATGCGATGCTTTGCCTTGAAGCGCTTCAGATGGTGATTGATGACCATCTTCTCCGCTAAGGTACCTGGCTGTATGATTGCACCGCTGTGCAAAGAGCGTACTGGCACTGCTTCCTTTTCATCGAAAGCCCAAGACCGCAACACTCTAAAGTCTACGTTGAACTCCTCCCATTCTGTGCCATCTTGCGGTGGATCCCTCAGAAACTGGTCGTAGTCCATCAGGCTCCATGGGGCCAGATCTTTAGAATTTACTGCCACTTCTTTGAGCATCATGTGCAGCCATATGTACGGAACTTCAATCCAGTACTCAGTGCCGGCATCATTGTACCGCAAACGAATCAAGTCTGCCTTCTCGGCATCGACGTTCCCAAGTTTCTCACCCCTGCGAACCCATTTGCCTGACAGTGCCGTGCGAAGAACTGCTTTGATAGAGCAATCGTCGAAGGCTTTCGACTCCGACCGGCCAAGGATGCCGGCGGTGGGGTACTTCTCTGACAGTTGAAACATGACTGCTCCAATCACAGCCGCAGCGCTTCCATCTCCAATCTTCGCTGGCTGGAGTGCCTGCACCAGAGCCTCTAAAGCCCGGCCGTGGCCTCCCATGTCTCGCACCAGCAAATCCTTGAGTTTATGAGGCGGAACTTTATCCTCGCCATTTTCCTCCACCCGGGTCACATGAGGGAGTGCTAGGCGGTAGCGACGCTGGGGTGAGCATGCCAGGCCATGATCCAGAGTTTGAGTGGCAGAAACGCATCCTACCACCAGCGGAGAGGCCTTTTGGTTGACGAGCCGGCACACTTCTAGCATGACCTGATAGAACGCTGTCACATTACCTGGTTTCTGAGCACGCAGGTCGAAGCCTTCGAGGCCCTGCATGCCGTCCACTCCCAGAACGACGATAGTGGTTTCCATTGCGCCCCGTAGCACGGCTTGCAACACATCGTCTGGCACCAGATGCTGGGGGCACTGCGCGCGGAATGCAGCAAAGTTCTCCGGAGCTCCGGCTGCTTTGAATGCCACCTGGTTGGCCGCCCGCAGCTGCCACAGCATGCGGCAGGCAACGAAGCGTCCAGCATTCAGCTCCTGAGTTGCCCAGTCTCCAGGTGAGGTGCCATTCTCACAGGTGATCAAGAAGGCCAAGGTCTTCTGGTACTTCTGCACTTTTTCGGTTTTGAGCTGTGCTCGACACTCCTCGATCATGGCGGGGAGCTCTGAGAGGAAGCGGGATTTGCCCTGTCCTGGGCCGGCAAATGCTATTAGCAGCGGGTGGTTCTGCTTGTCTGCATCCGCACCTTTGCGCTCACAAAGGACCCCGAAAGGCACTTGCAAGTCCCTGACAAGGGCTTCTCTGCCACAGTAGTCCCACTTCGCACCGATGGTGTTTAGCAGCGCGTCGCCAGCTCCAAACTCCAACTGTTGTTTGAGCAGTTTCTGACACCAGTCCTTCAAAAAACAGACAAGGCACAGGCACGAGCATGTTGCTGTCAGCTCTGCCCCCCCTCCCCACAATCCCTTTGTTGTTGCGCTGCCCTGCCGTCCCGGAGCGCTGCAAACCCGAAGGATAACAAAGGCAAAACAGCTTTGAAGTCCCCGGCCTGGGCGGTGCTAGCGCTTGCTTTCGCTTCAGACTCGGCCTTGGCCTTCTCGACCTCCTGCTTGGCCTCCTTGACCTTCTGCTCCGCCTTCTCGACCTCCTCTTTGGCCTCCTTGACCTTCTGCTCGGCCTCCTTGACCTTCTGCTCGGCCTCCTTGACCTCCTCTTTGGCCTCCTTGACCTCCTCCTTGGCCTCCTCGACCTGCTTCGTATCGCCTACTCGCTCCGCTTCCTCCAACTTGGCATTTGCTCTGCCCAGGTTCTTCACAGCCATGCCCACCTGTGCCTGCGCAGTCTCTTGCTGTGCCTGTGCAGTCTTTTGCTGGGCCAACGCGAGTGCCAGCTGCTGTTGCACCAGGGATGCATCATCCTGCGTTGCAAATCTGAGTTTGTAAACTTTCACGAACAGCCGGCCTTGTATGAAGCTCCTTCAGCCTGCAAAATCCAAGGGCAGGAACCTCAAAACCAACAAAAGCGTGAGCCCTCTGACGCACCTCAACCTTCTCGGTGATTTTGCTCTTGCCAGGAACCTTCGCTGTGGAAGCTTGCGAAACGGACCGATCTTGAGCAAACCCTCAACTGACTGGCGTCACAACACAGGCCCCAAAGCACCTCGGCAACCCAACAACTTTCGCAAATGGAAGTCTGGCTCACTTCCTCAGGCTGAATGCCAACAAGCAACTGAACCCAAGCTCAGAACCAGCTGTGCCTTCTCTGCAGGTGTGTCCAGGATCTTTGCGGCCTTCGCCGGCGATTCCTGCACACGGAGGCACGTACCGCAAATGAAGAACCAAGAACTCAGTGACGAGGTCCTCTTCCTGTTTTACAGGGGCTGCCGTACGCTTCGCCATAGTGCTACACTTGAAGTTCCAGGAATCTTTGTCCGACAGAGTACGACTTCTGTTTTGCATGGTGTTTCAGCATAGTCTACTCTGGACGTCTTTGACACCTACGCTTTTGAACCAAAACAATCTCGGCTAGCTCGGCTGCACTCACTATCGCCTCGGTGTCACTGAACGACATCCAAGTAGTTTAAGGCCCCAGCACCTTCAGTAACCCACACACCCCCCTCCCCGAACCTCACAGGCCCCTTGCCCGATACCTCACAACCCACACCCCCTGCTTTCTTGCTGGTCCTTGTGCTGCATCCAAAGTAGTTCAGGATGCAGCTAACCTCCCCTCCCCGGTACCTCGCCCCGAGCCTTCCAAGTCATTTCCTTTCTCCAAACGCCTCGCCTTCAGCACCGGCAACCCACCCACACCACGCACCCTCTCCCGGTTCTCAACGAGCCCTCCCATCTCCTACCCATTGCACCAGCACCTCCCCAACCCGGCTTCGGCTTGGACTTGAAGGCCAGCACCGCAAGACACACTTATTTCGATTCAGCGGCTTCACAAAAAAAACGGTCGAAATGGGGTCCATTCTCAATGTCACACGCTTCTACAGCATCTACATGTTGGTGGCAGTGAAAGATGAGCTGTCCACACACAGAGGCAACGCTTTAACAATGCAAGAGCAGGCAAATGCTCGCATCTGCTGTTTCCGCTTCATGTGCGAAAAACTGAGCACTTGTTTGCTACGTTTGCAATTCTGCGTGCAAGTGTGTCTCGTCACAGACACGCCCTGTACTCGAACACAAATGCAACTCCGTGGCTTGAAATTCTCCGCATGGAAGCATCCCCACGGAGCTTTTGACACGGTCCTGTGTAGCTCTAGGCGACGGCCTAGATCGGTCGCTGAGGCTCCGTAGTTGACGCTGAACGGCAATCGCCGTGCCTTGTTGCTCTCTCTGGGGAGGGTGTTCCAGTTCCATGTTCTGTGCCGCCTACAGGCCTCGTGAGACCTTGGTCAGAATTCGGCACTTCGAAGGCCTGTCAATTCTGCAACGTGCTGGCAGGAGCTCAAGCAATCTCTGGGGCTCAAAAGTGCTTGCAAAGAGCCTCCAAGTGGCTTTAGGGGGGCCCCCAGCCAGCAACTTCGCAGCCCTGCGAGTCGCAAACCGGTAATTTCAAGTTTCGCACGGCATGCGAAACCTCACACGGCTTCCGAATGGCTCCTAGCCACTCGCAGGCCCACAAAGGCTTCCGAGTGGCTTCCTAGCCACTCGCAGGCCCGCAAAAGGCTTCCGAGTGGCTTTCTAGCTACCCGGAGTTAGGCATGGAGTGCCTAACTTCTCGCAGTTTCTCACTTCGTGAGACACAGGAGTCGCAAGCTACTCGCAGGCCCACAAAAGGCTTCCGAGTGGCTTCCTAGCCACTCGCAGGCCCACAAAAGGCTTCCGAGTAGCTTCCTAGCTACTCGCAGGCCCACAAAAGGCTTCCGAGTAGCTTCCTAGCTACTCGCAGGTCCATAAAAGGCTTCCGAGTGGCTCGCAGGCCTTCCGAGTAGCTCCGAAGCCTGCGCGCGGCCGAATTGCAAGCACTTTGGAGACCCAAAGATTGCACGTCCTGGCGCCTCCAAGCCCTCAGATCTGCAGGCCTGCGAAATACTGAATTTTGACTAGGTCTCGAAACGAGGTCCATAGGCGACACAGAACATGGAACTGGAACACCCTCCCCAGAGAGCGCTCCCAACCCCCTTAAAACGCGGCTGACATACGTCGCCCGCCTGTTGGAGTCTCACTATATGCTGCCAGGCCTCACCACGAGCTGACTATGCTGTAATGTGACGCCTGTCACCGCCCGGCCTCCTATTGCGAGGGCGTCTCCAACTGTCCTGGCTGCTCAGGATTTGTTCGCCTGCGGCCAGCGCTTGCTTGTGACTGGCGCGCGTCGCCGGACTCATAGCCTCTGTGGGCTGCCAAGGTCTCTATCTCCCGTGGAGGACAAGCTGGTGTCGGCCTTGGCAAGCTCTGTACCATGTGAAACTGCTGCAATGACGCCACCAGATAGCTGCGCCGCCATTAATGGTTCCTGCCCCTTGGCGCTCCAAATTCTCGTCGGTGGTTCCCACCCCTGTAAGCGGCAGCTGGCATACGCCATCCGCCCTTTTTCGGAGGTCCTCCCTATTCCGTCATCTATTGAGCAGACCTGGGCTTTGTTGGCATGTCGTCCCCCGTCCTCCCAAGCAAGGGGGGGAGGGGGGCCTCTAGTTCCCCTGGCTGCCTAGGTGATCTAGCCCTGTTTCAACACTTGCCTGCCGCGGCCTGAGCATCCTTCTGGCAAGTTAACCTTGATTGGATTGGTCATTTGTGATTCAGTCTTGGCTCGTGGAACCCGATAGGCGCCTAGTAGCCGCGTCGAGCACGGAATAGGGTCTGGTCCAGAGGGAGGGGGGGGGTCTCGAGCCTTGTCAGGGCCGCCTGCCCACGAATCTCCTCCAGCCTTTCGGACGTGGCTGCTATGCGCCGCCTGCCTGTTAGCGTTGGAGAATTGGCAGGCATTTTGCGCACCATTGCACTTGGTGCCGACAGGTGCGCCACTTGTCCATATGCAGCGACGCCGACTAGGCTGCCGACTGCTATGCCAAGCACGGAACCGGAGATCTCGTGGGGGGGGTACGCCTGCTCCTTTCCTCGACACCCTCCTATGCCGCAATGCCACTCTTGCACAAGCCCTCTTGCATGGTCGTCGGGCTCTTAACCCTTGCAGTCTGCCAGCTCTTGACAGTTGGGCACGTTGGTGTCTGCAAGAGGGCCTTTTTGGTCATCTGCTGCAACTGGTGCCACCATAGATCCAACCGTTTGACAGTTGCTCGCCCCTTGGTGCATTGACTTCTTGTCTGCGAGTGACCTCCTCGATCTTGAGCCTGCCTTGCCTTTTAGCAACCTGTGGCTTGAAGTATAAAAGGTCGCTTGCGACATACGTCGCTCGCTCTTGCTCCCCATGGCGGCACGCCCTATGGCATCACATGGACAAATGGGCAGGCAGGCCATTGCCATTAACTCTCAGCGACCTCGAGCTGAAGCAACAATGGGCCGTCGCCCAAAACCGCTCAAGACAACGAGTGGAGCCCAATGCAAAGCTCCGGCAGCCGTTCTAGTCCCGGCAGACAAGGAAGTCCAAAAGTCCAAGGGCTGGGACAGGCATCGGGCCAGAACAAAGTGGCGACTCAATGCCGACAAGCAACCACGCGTGTGAGTCATTCCCAAACCACTCACAAAGCGCGCACATTGGCCTCGGTGGGTAGGCATCCAAATGACGGCCCCCCCTCCTTTCCAATCTGCGGCCGTTGCAAGGACCGTCATTGCGTGTTCCAGCCAAGGTAGAGTCACTGATGCCGGCCAGCCTCGGGCCGCCAGCCTCGGGCCGTGGCACGTTCAGGGGCTGGAGGCCATAGCGAGTAGTATGTACCATCCGTGCCGGAGGGAAGTAAAACGGCCGGCGGATGGGTCCACGCCGCCAGTAAACCAAAACCTGCGGAAGGTGCCAGCCAGAAGAAGTCGCCCGGTTGCGGAGCGACTGAAGGCATTACGAAGAAGCCCAGCAGGCTGGATAGGAGGGAAGGGCGGAGCCCAATCCCAATCCAATATCTTCAAGCGGGAGCATCAGACGGATGGTGCCTAAGTAGGCGCCCGGGTGCACGAACATACAAGGATCAAACTCGGGCTCGTGCATAAGCACGCGGCAACGGTTGAAGGCTTGCACAATTCGCTTCACAACCGTGTACTGGGTTCACATATTGCCTTTGCCGGCACAAGGAGGCCTTGGCTTCCCCTCCCATTGGACCCCTGCTTGACACTGCGGATAGAGGAAAGGTGCCCGGGGAGTCAAGGAACGAATGTACGAGCTAAAACAGAAGTTGAACGGGCAGTAATGTACCACAATGTCTCAATCTGCGAATCTCTGCCGTGAGACAGCTGCTGTCCGCTGCTGCCATCGCGTACGGGCGAGTTCTAGCAGGAACACCACCCTGCTAAAGAAAAACCCTAAAACCTGACAACGGAAAATGAATGCAATCCGTACTCGGTCCACACACTTTTCCATGGGATCGCAAAGATCAGCTGCGCCGGGCATCGAACGGGTTCACCCGAGTTCTGCCTTCTGTGGGGTGGCGACTGTTGCACCACCCCACGAACAAAAGCTCTACGAGCGAAGCTAGAACACTTGAGTGACAGCTTCGGACTAAGGGAACGACCAGAGTCCAGAGGGGTCTTCCGGGACTGAGCAGTCCATGCTAAAGCGGAGGCTACGAGCAGGAGGCGATCTGCAGACTACGGCGGTGAAACGATCTGGGGCCACTGGCGGGCCCAGCAGGAAGAATCAAGCAAAGTGGTGCGGCAGCGGCGCGCGCAAGGTGCCATCAGCAGGATGACACAAGGTTCAAGTTAAGATGCCAGGAAGGATAGCACGTCCAGCAAGGTGCCGCGCCTAGCGGAGGCCGGCATGCACGCAAGCGAAGCAGGGTGGGCCGGGTGGGAAATCAAAATTGCGAAGCGACTTCGCCGCAAGTTGATCCAAAGCGGAGTGCGGATACACAGAGCTTTCCAAGACATGTACTGGAGCAAGATGTCGTTGGCATTGGCTAAAGCGGAGAAGGGTAAACTTTCCAGTTTCGCAAAAGGAAAAGGGCAAGCGTTTTTCATTGAAAACATCAGTGGACAAGTCCACAAGTACATACGGACGGACACGCAAGCTCGTACCAGGTTCGATAAAAGCTTTGGTCTCTTGCAACTGCAGAAAAGGCGAGCAATACTCTGAGCCAATGCCAGAGACACGGATAGAATGGGCGAGATGCACATTCTCCACGCCTCAGACTCAGTGCAGCAGCGCAACAGGACGGCTCGATCAGCGAAATCGACAATCCGCACTCTGCGACTTTAACCTGCAGCGGGATGCATAAAAGCAAATTGAGTAGCATCTTGTCTACACGAATTACCTGCCTAGACTCTGATGATCGAGTTCCGTGCTG